GTCCCAATTATTATGTACACTTTTGAACAATTAATAAAGTTAGGGTGGCCAATACTTTTGTCCAGGTAGTGTATATGTACTAGGGTTTTTTCTGTCGATCATTTTACCGATAGCAAAAACATACAAACGTCAAAACTTTGAACGAAACAAGCTATGTCATTTCTACATACACGAAAATCTGCCCTACAAGAACACTTTTCGTTTACTTGACAACATAATGTGTTTTCATATGTAAAACTATTTTTGAGGAATATTTCACCACTTTTTTATATCAAAATCAAAAAAGTGTGTCTACTTTCTTGTGGGGCGGGCGTTGGAGTACGTATTGGTATAGTCTTTATGAGCATAGCTTGTTTCGTTCAAAAGTTATCGAGGTTTGAAGTTTGGTCACTATTATTAATAATTTCAGAAAACATTTATTTTAATAATTTCTATCTACTATCGGTATTTTTGTTGTTACATTGTAGTCGAGCTCAAGACGATGGGTATCGTTATATCATTCATATGAGAGACCATTTTACAAAGTTTAGTCGGGCACGAGTGACGAAACAAAAACGGCAGAGTGTAGCCAAATTCCTCTATGACGTTCGGGCCACCAACGTGATAACGGGAAAGAGTTCTCTTGTATAATGAATAAACTGGGGAACTCATGGCCGAATTTAAGAGTGACCCATGCGACCCCGTCGTCCTCAGTCACAAGGCATGGTGGGAAGAGGTAACGCATCTTTGAGCAAAAAATTGCCAAGTGGATGGCAACACATAAACGGGTAGACTGGACAAACGTTCTGGGCCAAATCGTATACACAACGAATTGTGAAATCTGCAGGACTACAAGTCAAGACCGTATGAACTGGTATTCGGAATCCCACCAGAAAAGATAGAATGTTACTGCAAGAATTATTTGAAGCTGGTGTAACAGAAGAGCGCCAAACTGACGACGTTGAGATCGAAAGTATAGAGTCAAGTGATAATAATAATGATGATGAATTTGACGATGATTGTGAATTTGAACCAAGTAATATTCGAAGCTGAAGAGCACCAAAATGACGACAATAATGATGAATTTGAAGATGAGTGTGAAACCATTGAATGTTGATAATTTGATGGTAATCAGGAGTCTGAGTCAGTCAATGACAATGAAGACAATGAAGGTGAGTATAATAATTTTTAATTTATTACTATTAGACCAAGATCTAACATCTTTTATAGGTAGCAGAGAAGTGCGTATGGAATCTAGCAACTTTTCCGATAGTGAGGATGATGAAATTACAGAAAATATTTTTAACGGGCCAAAAGACGAGTATAGGTACAAATGGAATGAATTCCAGCAATTGTTGATCGATGTTTTTGGAGAGCAAGTCGAGCCACCAGACGTTCCAAGGAAATATACGCAGACGCGCTAGTGGAATTAGAATTTTTGAGATAAAATGTATGAAATGAGAATAATGCGTAAAATGAATAAAGGTATTAATATGGCACTATGTATACTAGGTATTATATTACAATACACGAGGAAAAAAGTCTCATAATTATTTATTTACATCAGTGTTGGAAACGAACAGAAGTCGTCCGAAGCCTAGGCCAGTTGACAGATCAAAAGACCTACATACAGAGGCGGACTTTTTTATATATAATTCCGTGGAATAGACTTAAATGCATGTGGATAGTTTATTTTGGGTTGCAAGGAGAATTTCCTGAGGGTATCAGCACAAGGGAAATTACAAAAGCTTTGAGAATTTGCAAACGTCATGAAAACAATCCCGGAGTGAAATTGCCCAATGGAAAGAAAATTTTCAGAGATGGACAAGTCAGGTTGAGAAGTTAGCTCAGGAACTGGTAATTATAATTTAAATATGTCAATTTGTTCACGCGTATTCCTCAAAGTTTTCTACTTGTTATGTGAACAGGTCAAAACCACCAACAGAGATGATGAAAACGTAAAAGCTGAAGGATCTACGAGTTCTGATCACATTTGAAAAGCACATTGTCATCATCGAGTTTGCAATTCTCGAAAATGCGAAGTTAATAGTTCTGAGTACGATAGACTATGTACTCTACCTCATCAAATTATTAGAAATACATACGACAAAGAAATGAAAATATTTTAATATTGTCTGCTGAAATTTAGCAGGCCTAGATGAATCCAAGGTATTTAATTGAAGATATTATTTTAACTAATTTTTTTGACACCTATTGCAAATACTAATCGTTTTGCAATCTATGACGTATTCTTTCTACCAGCGCAGCTGCGGATTTCGGAAGTAGGGGTTACAAACATCGCGGGGTCAAGCACTGTTGTACATTCAAACATTAGTCTGTCACTAGTTCGTCACTAGTGCTAAAATAGTGATAAGATAGTGATAAGATAGTGATAAGACAGTGATAGAATAGTGCCAGAACAGTGCGGAGATAGTGATGAAACGCTTCAGTACATTCTAAACGTATACTAAATAAAGACAATCGATAGAATAGTAGAATTAGCTGCTAAAAATAGCTCATTTAGACCGATCGAAAGATATATAAGCAAGTAAGAGTTTCAGCTAGAGTCGGTGTGTTCATAGTGTTTGTTCTATAGTGTGTTTCGCATGGTGAATTAAGATCCTTATATTCCTTATAATTCATATAATATTGTTAATAAACGTGTGCATTTACTCTGAACCTATATTATTGACCCTATTCTCTAAATTAGTTGATATATCTGAGAAACCGTATATCAACCAAGGATAATTGCCTCTTGTCCCGCAATTATCTGAGTGGCAAATTAGGATATTTAATCGTTAGCTTCTAGAACGCGTTCATTCTTAGTGATAAACCATTGTACCCCAGACGGGAGATTATCGGAATAATCCCTCGATAATAACCGACGATACACTCGAGAGCGATTACTTATCTCGGATTAACGTCATTCTACGGTGAAAAAGCCCGTAAGTGCAAAGCCTTGAATTAACGCGGTCACTAACTGTACCCTAGACAAGGAGGAGGCGTCGATACTAGCTAAATCCCAAGTGTCGATTACTATCTGCTCTCCCGCAGTAGTCGGCACGACAGTTTACGTTGAACAGCATCTCAGTGAATTTACACTTTTATAAAATATAAGGAGTTAGAAAAAAATAATGCATTCGAGTGAGTATTTGAACCACTTTAATTTATCCTATAATATTATAGCTAATATCTTTTCAATTTATAGTTGTTCAATTGATGATGTAATGGACATTCGAGGAGAAAGCGGGTTTGCAAAATTTTTGTCAGCCGATGAATTTATCAAATTGCTATCACAAAAACCAAAGAGGAAAGCTAAATTACCAGAAGGTTGGCATGATATCATTGAAAAGTACAGAATCCTATGGCTTGTATTTGTTATCTACAAGAATTATTTATTGGTTATATTATTTTATAGGAGACAACTGAAAATGGATAAAAAAAAAGTATATTTGATTGGATTCGCATTACAAGGGAGTTGGATATTGTAAGAAAGGATGATACTGAAGAGATGACAAAACTTTAGATCAAGTCATGCTTCCATTGTAAGTATTGGTCAGGGTGCTTTATTATTATTATTGCCTGTTGTAATTAGTATCTTTATTTCAGAATCAAGTCATTTGCAAAACCAATTCCCGATATTAATGCCCAAGATACTAGCAAACACCATTATTGGTCAGGATTTGGTCATCGATTCTTTTCAAGAGCATTACAAGAGGGTGTAAGTACTTATTATGTTCAATCAAGTTCCATGAGTAGAAATTCAAACCACTCTTTTTTTATTCTTAGCATGGAAGCCCTTGTACTGGCTTCCAAATACAGAAAAAATTACAGGTACAATCATGCCACAGAAAAAATTGTTGATGGAAAACGTGCAGATATTGTTGGCAAGAGGATGTGGGGAACTGGTGAAGAAATTTTTGTCGGGGAACAAGCTGGGCCACCTAGTCAATCTGACCTCACAAAATCAGCAATGGATTCAGCAAAACCAATTATGAACACTCTTGAGTGACGAATACTCTAGTGAGCATTCCCGCTACGCAACATGAGTCATTACCTAGGTGGTTATCCATACTGAGTTGGACGTAATAATGACAATGTCATGTAGTAATGATGTTACCTCTTCGATTGTATGTTAAGTGAGAACCCGTTATAGCGAAATATTGTTTGTTATAATTATCCAACCATTACTTTTATGTTTATTAACAACGGTTCTATCAAGGACATGCACTAGAGATAATAATATCTCTCTTT